TTTGTAATGTGAGTTATTTATTTGGGAGATTCCTTCAAAGACTGCTTTCAAAGTGAATCACGGGTTTCAATTAATGGCACAGTTTTAAATATTTTGAATTTTGTATTAGGACAGGTTCTTTGCCCATTTCCTTTCTTCCACTGTTTCTTCCTGCTATGGAGAAAATAAAATGCGGGTTCTCTGTGTAGTGGATGCAGGAGCCCAAAGTGAAGATGGTCAAATACTTTCTTTGTTCCAGGGGGTTTAAGTAGCATTTAAGGAAACTGAAGTTTATGATCAGAAACAGCATTGTTTCAGAGCTTAGCAGGTGTGCCATGTTTCTTTTTTGAATTAGAAATGCCAGACCTCAGTAAGGCTTCTTATTCACTTTGAACATATAGAAAATATAAGAAGTATTTTCCTGTGACTAATGTGGATTTTTTTAAAACTGGCAGTTTTCCTTTTTCCTGTTTTAAAAATAAGTCAGTAAATTTGTCACTTATTTTTAATACTTTCTTCACTTATTTTCCTGTAAATGGAAAAATGTGCATTAAAAAAATGGTTAGCTTGCTTGCATCTCTAGATCATCCCCGTGACAAATTTAAAAATGTCATGTTTGTGATGAGTCTATTCAGGAGGATGAGGGAGGAGGTACCATCGACTTGGTGCCCATCACGCGTGACTTTGAAGAAGAGCAGCACAGGAGGCTCTTTCCAGGCTGGCTTTCCAACCCAGTATCGATCAAAACCAGCTTGACCCAAATCAGCCACCACTGAAAAAGTGCTTTAGTAATAGTTTGCCACAAACCCCTTTGAACCATCGGGGTTTTTTCAGCGTGATGCTGGCTCTGAGCCTGCGTGGAGTTGCAGGAGGCTGTTGCAGAACTCACTCTCCCGGTCGCAGTTGCATGGCTTTGCACGTGCTCACCCGGCTTTCTGGCCAGATGTGGCTGTTTGTCACTTCAGTTTATATTAGGTAGCAATAATATAGATTAATGCACTCAGAGAATAAAAGTATTTGGAGGTTGGCTACCCAAATTAATTTTATAAGAATGCTAATCGATTCCTACACTGTAAGAAAACAACGGAGAACATGCAACTGAATTTGTGTAAATCCCAACTGATGCCTGTTTTGTTGTTGCTGAGAGTAAAAACGTTAGAATAATTCCTTCTCCTTGTTTTATGTTGGTATTTCAGCAGGAATGCATATCAGCATTTGCAACTCAATTTTTGGTGTTGGGAGGGAGCTTGCAGATCTTGGGGGGAACTTGCTTTAGGTCGAGCAAAGAAATAAAAGCTGAGTTGTACAGGAGCGTGTCAGGCTTCCTGCTCTTCGCATTCCTCCCAGTCCCGGGAGTATAGAAGTATTTCTGGGCTGATTGCTGGCTGAGGCTGCCTTTGAAGACCATTGCTGTTACTTCAGCTTATTACTCAGTGTCGCTCAGAACACTGCCCGTGCTTTGGACAAAGACGTATATCTGTGTGTGTAGCTGGGCCAAGAAATCCAACCGATACCTGCCTGACATCTGCCAAGACAAACCATTGCTTGGAGGGGCTTTAGATCTCTTCTGCTTTTTACTTAGCTTTCATTGATACTTAGCAATGCATCTGATATGCTTTGGTTTTTTTCTGAAAAGAAATCCTCTGTGTATTAATTGCATTTAATAGTGATACGGGGGTGGGAAACAACAAATTTTAACACCTCTTTGCACTTTTTTATGGGATCATGGTGGCAAGGTTGAATGATATCTATATCTATTTCTGTGCATTCTTTCCTGCCACCTCTGGAAACACTTCCTCTTTATCACTTGAAATAACTGGATTTGATGGAAGCAGTTCTATTAATAGGGTGTTATAAATGAGCAATAGTACTAGAAGGAGGTGCAGTACTGTTAAATGTCCATTTGAATTTTTGGGACTTTGCCTTTTTGAAGACTATCTTCTCGTGGAGCTGTTGATTAACTGTAGTCTGCAAAAGAGACACTGTTCCTTGACATAAAAAACATACAAAATTTCATTCCTTAATTCAGTTATATCTGTCAATACAGCTTGGTGGTAGGCACTTCAGAAAAATCAGTTCTGTAGATTGAAAGTACCCATCATTTTAGAGAACTGAGCCGCTCTGGCTGTGTTGGAGAGTTTCATATATCTTAGAATCACAGAATGGTTTGGGTTGGAAGGGACCTGAAAGATCATTGAGTTCCAACCCCCTGCCCTGGGCAGGGACACCTCCCACCAGACCAGGTTGCTCCAAGCCCCATCCAGCCTGGCCTTGAACCCCTCCAGGGATGGGGCAGCCACAGCTTCTCTGGGCAACCTGGGCCGGTGTCTCACCACCCTCACAGTAAAGAATTTCTTCCCAATATCTCATCTAAATCTCCCCTCTTTATATATGAGGCTTACACTGTCCGCGTTAAGTTTAAAACATGTCTGAAGTATTCATATTACAGTGATTTTTTTGAAGATACTGGTGCTTTCTTGATTGCTCTGGGAGAGCCTTCTCTTGCCTGAGGGTTGCGTTATAAACCTGTGCTGCTGGCCAAGAGAGGACTGGTCTACAGCATGGTCTGGCAAGCCTTGCTTCTCCCCAGAAGGAGCTTTGTTTAATAGATTTGCCAGAACCCTCACCATAAGAATTTCTTAGGCCCCAGCGTGGGCCTGAGGCAGGGGGGATAACGCACCCGCTGTGCTCCATGTGAGGAGAAGTGGAGTGAGGGTGTAAACGCTGAGCAATGGGAGTTGGGCCGAGCTGGTGAGGCTGGAGGGAAACTGAAGGTTATGGTGGCGTTAGTTACTGTAAGAAATGGAATCAGGGGCCAGGAACACTCCAGGCCAAAAGATGAACTCATCCAGGGCATCAGGCTCCAGTATTGTTTGACAGCAGCGAGTAGAGAGCGGCTTTGAAAGTTGCTTTCGGCACAAGGCCGCGAAGGCCAGGCTTGGCCTAAAGCCATTTCAGGGCACAAACTTAGGGGTGCAGTAAATACAGACTTTCCAGTTTAAGAAGTTAAAATAATTTTACGCTTCTGTCACCTCCAGAAGCTAAACTTGCAAATGTTTCCTTGGTGAACTTTGAGAAAGGAGGAGGGTGTAATAGAAGAGGCAGCAGCGCTGGTAGTAAAACCAACCTCTTGGGGTATCAGAAAGGTGTTGGCCACACATCAAAAAACCAAATGGATTTCAAAGAGGGAGAGAAAGCCATAAAGTGTTTTTGTCTTGGGTGTTTATCTAAAGCAATTGCCAACATTAATTAGTGGAGAATGCAATCTTAGCAAGTACTGTTCAGATTTTCTGCCTTCCAACCACATTTTCCTAGTTAAGTCTTGAGAAATACATTGTGCTTTCATGTTAGGAATCAAAACATAGATAAAAGTAATGAAGTCATTCTAAACTTTGTAAAGCAGGCTTCGTTAAGTTTCACATACTAAATTCAGGCAATCAGCAGAAAAATATTTATATGGCATTTCTGTGGATGAATAGGGGCAGGTTCTTAAGAATGTGTTGCAAAGAAAAACATTTAATGACCTCCTTTGTCTTTAATAAAGCATAAAGAATATTAGGCTTTTCTGTAGTAAGGGCTACATTTGAATAGGGATTTGTCTGGAAGGTTTTTTCAGAGTCTTTCAGAAAAATAGCTTATCTTACCTGTGGCAAGTCCAGTGAGCTTCGGGTATTTAACAAGAAAAAGTAAGAGAGGACTTGGTGACCAGTCTGTTTCCCTGAGCTGGTGTCATGTCCTCTGCACTTCGGATCTACAGCCTATTTTTGCCCATGAAGTAACTATTTGAATTACCTGGTTTTCCACAGCGCTTGGTTTGATTTTGAGTCAATCAGTGATCAGCAGGAGGCTTCACTGCGGGTTGTAAGTGGGGAACAGTGTAGAGTGGATGCTGTTCAGATCCTTTTCAAGGAGCCTTAAATGTTCTAACCTAAATGAAGCAAGTACATGAACTTATAAAATACTTTTAATTGGGGCAGATTGATGCAGTACTTAAAGCTAAGCAATTGTACTTACCTGTACTATTTTTTAGCCAGAATAGTGTCCTAATGCTGAAAAAGGTTGAGTCTTTGCATGGTTTATGTCCTCAGATGCTGACCTCCTAGTGAGCACCTCTGTTACTATTTGAATTTCTATGGTTCTATTCTCAAACTCATATTTCAGCTTCTGCGTTTAAGTTGACTTTAAAACATCGGTGGCTTTTTAAACGTGACGTTTAGAACCTCCAAGACTTCTTTCACTGGTATTATGTAGTAATTTTATTAATTTATCCTGCAGTGGCCTCAGGCGTATGGCATGTTCTCTCACTTTCTTCAAGGAGTTTTCTAGCACTGTAGGGCCAATTTTTCTGACACACTGCGGCTATATAATGTTATTATTCAGCAATAGTAGCATCAATTGGATTAATAAAAATAAGGAAGTTTTAACATGTACAACGATGCTCTTACGTGTATGATTCTGGCTAAATTAAGTCACAAGGGGTCTGTAGATGAGGTTAATAAGATTCAATTCCGGTGTGTGTATGTGCTAACTCTGTCGGTCTGTAGAGCTCGGGGATCAGACTTGAAGTAAGGGCATGTGTTTAAGTTCATTCTACTTAGAGAAACTTAGAAACCAGTAGAAATGGGGTAAAAATGATCATCTTGTTCCAAGCCCCTGCCCTGGGCAGGGACACCTCACACTAGACCAGGTTGCTCAAAGCAGTGGGGTCTGGGGAGCATTAAATGAATGTGAATTTTAAAACGCAGCAGTAGAGGTATTTTCAGAAATGCTCTATATCACCACTAGAATGTGAGGTGCAGGATTTATCTTTTTCACACACCACAAATACAGTTACTTTGCAAGTTAGGTTTTGTTTCCATCCTTGATTCAGGAAGACTGCTGTGTACATCAGCTCTGCTTTCATCTGCAGGTTAATTGTATTACTTCATACAGCTTTCATTAGGCGTATTGAAGTTGCATAAATTAAGGTCATATGGGCAATATACGTGACTAATCTTTGTGTTCTCTGATTCTCTTTGCAGTTGATGAAGGTTGTGTTAAGGAACTGGGCAGGGTGCGGGTACTTCACAAGAGAACCGTGATGCCTTACAGCGTGTATAAGAAGAGAAGGAAGGGGCCAAGCGACGAAGCCAGCGTCCAGCAATACGCAAGTTTGGTTGGACAGACCTGTTCAGAAAGAATGTTGTTGTTTAGAAGTTGAAAAATCATTAAATGGCATTTTTGATGGCGCTACGTTTCATTGCACTGCCACTGGATGATGTGTACTATAGCTGTGTGTTGGTTTGCCTACTCAAATAGCAGTATGAAATGCAGGTATATATCTAGGCTTGTGTGAGTACATGGTACTGTGTCTAAAGGCCAACTCCAATAAAACTTACAATACAGCAAGGCTTTAGCAATATAAGTTTAGAAAAACATGCTTGCAATATATCTTAATCAAGTAGTTCTAGCCTTTCTATGCATTTTGAATAATTCCAAGTATCTAAGCAAAATGAAAAACAGGTGTGTCTTTTTTGTAGAGATGAAGGTTGACTAAATCTAGATTAACAATAATTAAATTACAAATGTTTTCAAATAGCACCTTGAATATCTGTCGTTTAAAATTGCCATGAAATCTATGCTCGCATTTGTATGCTCCTGAACTGTTGCAAGAGAATTGAAACGTGCTGTTACTTTCTAATGTGAAATCTGGCATGGTTTCATTTTATTTCAGTAGTATATTTAAAAATGGGAAGAAATGATTTTGACTGCACATTCTTCATTGGTTTAGAGCGGTAGGTTAGTGTCCGAGGTCCTAGTGAATGTAGGAGTTCATAGATTCTCGGTGGCAGGGGATGCAGAGCTTTGGAAAACTTTCCCCTTGAGAGAAGAAAGAGAATAGTTGCACTATAACTATACCAAAGATATGCAGCCGAGTGGCACGGTGTTTTTTTGGTATAAGCCTTATCCTTTTGTCTAAAAAGGAGTGGATATTTTAATGCACATCACTAACGTGAAATAGAGGAAGGTTTATCCTACGGCTCGTCAGTGCACATTTGAGAACTATGCTAAAAACCAGACGGGAGGTACCGCTGCTGGGGGCTGTTGCAGTGATGTTCTGCAGAATTGTATGGGAGGATTTACATATCATATTCCTGCGTTTGTGCCGACTGTTTTGTCGATGGTGAACTATGCTAAAAACCAGACGGGAGGTACCGCTGCTGGGGGCTGTTGCAGTGATGTTCTGCAGAATTGTATGGGAGGATTTACATATCATATTCCTGCGTTTGTGCCGACTGTTTTGTCGATGGTGCAGCAGCTCACGGGTTAGCATCTTTAAGAACATTTAAATACTTCTGTTGGAAACACAGGGAGGTGTGATGCTTTATGACAGCACTTTATTATCTGATATATGATCCTTGCCATTAGTGTTGTGTGTCCCTATCAAGTCATGCAAATTATAAGCATTTGGGGGAATAATGCTATTTTATGACTCAGTAATGTACTACAACTTCATAATAATACCAATGCATTTGTCTTTCTTACCTTCTTGGATAACGGGTGCTAGGATTTACCTTGAATCAACTTGAAGTTTCCCGTTAACCTTTGAAGAAAGATTCTTATTCAGGAATATGTGTGTAGGTTTTTTCCCCAGAAAGGAACAAAATTCAGTTTTACCCTCTGAGGGTTACGTTTCCTGCTGTTCAGGGGCTTGATTTGATTGAACACTTGGCCAATATTATTAATCATTGATTTTTATGTGGAACAGACGTAAGAATTTTGGGATTCCAGTGCATTGCAAACATTGATCTGTTTGATCGTTGTAGTAATATTGATATAGAGGGCAGCTTCAGCCGTAATTAAAATAAGTAATCTTAAGTTTTATTAATTTGAACGTGTTGTATTGATCTGCTCCCAGCCTGCAACAGAATTGAGTATGTCTGTAAGCATTATATCTGGTATGTGTTTATCTGTTGCCTGGGACTGAGAAGTTTCTGTATAATGTACAATTTAATTTATCCATGTCTTATCTACACCTATTGCCGCGAGAGAACCACTAAATACTACTTATGAACATTATTATAAAGAGTTCCTTTCTGTGGAGACAATACTCTTGCCACCCAGTGAAATGTCAAATAGTATAACATTTTCTGCCTACACAATGTGTTGAAAAGCGGTGAGGCCCATGTGGCTTAAAACCAAAATAAATGAGAAAACCGATTTTATGTTATATGAAAAGGTTAGTGGGCATACAGGAATTCCAGTATGGCTTGCAAAATCTTAAAGATGATCAAAACCATTTAACGATGGCCTCGCTGTGCTCCTGGAGAAGCTAAAGTTTCCATTAAATTGCAAGGGAGCAGACTTCACGTCACCACTGAGAGTTCTTGAAAAGCTCCATCTTTTTGAGCCCACTGTTACTGGTACGTCTTCTAGAGATGGATGAGGCTTTTATCTGGTGCTCTCTTTCTCTCGGGGAGCTTTTAAGGACTGCAGTTAAAGAAAAGCGAGATAAATATAAAATTGCAAATTGAGTACAGCTTGAAGTTGTCATTAGTGTGACCACTAAAGGTAACTGACCATTTCCTGTGAATTCTGAAATGGTGCTTTCACTTTCTGACCTCCACGGGAACCGCAGCACCAGGGCACTCTGGCCTTCTGACTCCTACCGAGCTCAAACACACACATATATGTTTTTTAAAAAGTCAACATTAACTCAAAAATGCATCTGATGTGGAATATTGAGATCTGACTCACTTCTTCAGTGTTATTTTAGAAGAAAAATGGTGCAGTGCTTTTCAGGACTGATCATTCTATCCCAGTTTTGGAAGTGGAATAGAATCTGGGGATGAAGTTCTGTAAGTTTTGCTATTGACTTCAGTGGAACTGAAAATTTACTGCTCTTATAATTTTATTTAATAAGACATTGTCATTGAGAATTATTGAACCTAGAAATATTAGTACAAAATATTTTATAAGGATTTTTGGTGTAGTTAGTTGGTGAGGGTTAATCCTGAAAGTAAGGTTGCCTTGTTCTATTGTCTGTTGATAAATGAGCATCAAATGGTGGTAAGAAAATGCAGGGCAGTAACCAGTGCTAAAAAATACCACACTTTGTTTTGATTGGAAAGAAATGGGGAGCTTCTTTGTTTCCAGCACCCACACATTTCAGTAAATGCAAAAGAACCCGCATGTTGAGTTTGTACTTGCTTTTCAGCAGGCCTGTTTGACTCGTAAGTATAGAAAATAAAGTCATTTCTAATCTCTGTAAATAATCAATAGCTCTGAGTGTGACTTCTGTTTTACTTTGTTGAAATTCATTGTCTTGGAGGTTGACTAAGCGTCCAGTGAACAGCAAAATTGGGGAAGTCAAAGAGTAGCAGTGATTAGGAAGGATACCTGTCAGTTCAAAACATACGCTGGTACTTTACAACTAAATTTAGTTCCAGCGAGACAGAATAATGATGAGTTTATGCTTTGAAACAGAATTTCTAATTCTTTTGTGAACAGAATAAAGTGAAGGGTGAATAAAGGGGAGGGACTCTTGATCAGGGAGTAGAGTGATGGGATGAGGGGTAATGGTTTAAAAGGGAAAGAGGGGAGATTTAGATGAGATATTGGGAAGAAATTCTTTGCTGTGAGGGTGGTGAGAGCCTGGCCCAGGTTGCCCCGAGAAGCTGTGGCTGCCCCATCCCTGGAGGGGTTCAAGGCCAGGTTGGATGGGGCTTGGAGCAACCTGGTCTGGTGGGAGATGTCCCTGCCCAGGGCAGGGGGTTGGAATGAGATGATCTTTCAGGTCCCTTCCCACCCAAACCATTCTATGGTGATTCTATAATATTTAGGGCAAAAATCATCGCCACGTTTTGGGGAAAATCATCAGCATTTCCAGAAGCATCGCAGCCACATGTCATTTTCTATATATTCATAAAACTGCACCTTTAGTGCCTCTTGCATGTGATTTCACACCCTGAGCATAAAAAACCAGCCGGATTATGTTTCCACTTGCCAAATGATCTGTTTTCTGAAGTTAGTGGAAGTGATGGAGAGTTTCCAAGCCCCGACGCCGTGGCTGTCCGCAGGAGGTGAGCTGTGTCCCTCCGTCAGGCTGGACCATCCGTCGAGGAAGGTGGAACCCACCGTGGAAGGGCTGCTGGTGGCCCTGGGTGACAGAGAGGGGATCTGCTGGTGGTCAGTGGAGCATTAGCAGGTAAGTAGGGAGTGATTTGTCTTTAGTTATGAGGCACATCCTAGTCTCACTGGGGAAATAAAAATGCACTGTGGAAAACAAAAGGTATAAATACCACTATTTAACTTCAGTGGTAGCTGCTAACAAATGAGTAGCCCAGCTCGGTTGATTGATTATAATAAGCTCATTTTATAGGAGTTTTTTTGGTAAATCACGATGGCTGAGCAGCTGAGTGCACAAACACTTACTAAAGAGAACACTCAGTGAATAGAAATGCTTAAATACAAAGATAATGTACAAGTATTAGGAGGGTGTTAAAATATGTTGTATAAGCCAAAACAGGTTTATGGCAGTGAAAAAACAGTATTATCTTATACAGTTAATAAAGGTAGTATCCAGGTGCTAGTTGTGGGCAGTAGATTCCTAAATACATTAGGATTCTATAAATTAACCTACCACATTAATTTTATAGCACGTTCAAAGTGTTATCTTGTGAGAGCTTTGTTTTCTAACAGAATTGAAATAAATAGGAATGTAAATATATGAAATTAACATATAAAACCAAGTATAGCATACGTTAATGGTATCTATATTAACACGAAACAATCTAAATTCTGAAAACAGTGGCTCTTGCTGGCCTTGTAGAAATCAAGAAACAGCTCAGCAGCTTTCTGGCTGTATCTCTTCCTGGTTATTTTTCACTGGTTTTATGTTTATTCATTTCCTTATTATAGCTATTCCCATCAGATTTTTTTTATTTTTTTTTTTGTGCTTCCCATCAGTTCTTTCCACTTTGGTTTTGACACAGAATACACGTGTCTGCCAAAAGTCCTGCTGCGAGATGGCTCTTGGGACAAAAGGAAGTGTTGGAGAGTCTATGGAGTAGCGAGAGGAGAGCGGAGTCCGCGGGGACAGTCAGTCTGCAACCTTTGTGCTGCAGAAAAAGCAGGGTTTATTTACAATTGAGTCTGCTGCAGGCTTTAAAATAAATGTGTCAGATTTCATTCATTTCCCTTTGTCTGTGACATCTGATTATCATTGCCCAGGAAGAATCAATGGAGCATTGTAGAATATTAAGAGGGGAGGGGGAAAAGGGAAGTTAAGGTCAGGGTATTGTGTTTTTAGCAAAATAATGGAGTTAAGGGATGAAATTGCATGAATTCTGTTGACGTTTTCTGGTGTCTGCAAAGGAGCAGACAAGCGTAGGCTGGATGGGACTTTCAGAAATGGTTTGCTGCTTCTCCCTCACCTTCTCTTCTCCAGGCTGAGGCAGGGACAGAGGACATCCACCATCCCTGGGAGGGCTCAACCTCACTGCTGGTGGGAATCTCTAACGAAGGCAGCTCAGCAAGTTCCTTAGAGTGATTTTCTACAGGCAGTAATATACTTGTTCTTGGAGCTTGGTATTTATTTTTCATACTTTTGGTTGCAAGTGAACCTGGTTTGCTTTGAGCTACCCGAATGTGAAGAGCCATCACTGAGGTTCTTCTTTGCAGCAGCTCTTTTTTTCAAAGACTGTTGCCACGTCAGCCTGCTGGGGTTTTTTTCAAAACTAACTGATCCCGATTACCATTCCAGATAGTCATGTTTTTAAGTTATTTCATTGAGATTTCTTAATTATTCCCCCATTAGTCCATTTTTAGCTTGGTGCCTTGGTGTCAGCTGCTCAGGTAATTGAAGTAATAATTGAAGTGGTTTAGATGAGCAAATAAATGTTGCTTTTTCAAAATAATAATTGTCAGTGCCCTAACTGATTTTTCTGTTTAACACAGATCCATATTTTCTGTTTATTTACCATACTTCAGTAAAATACGGGGAGGAACCAACCCTTACTCTACCAGCAAACAGAATTTTTTTCTTCTTAAATGCTCTCAAGCTGCAGCCAGCAGAGGGCATGGTCCATCTTGCAAACTTCACCGTAGCCCTAACGCTACTTCTTGTCTGAGTATCCACGTTTTCTGGCTCTTTTATTACCATCTCATTCTGAGTCTAATTTTTTACTCTGCTCTTAACTGTGGTATATGAGAAAAAAACACCAACTTACTGTCAGATGGGGTTGACGAAGTGGGGTTTCTAATGCATTGATTGGGAGAGCTACAAAAAGATAAAAGGTGCATTATTTTTCTGCTTTCTCCTTATCCTGCTTCTGTTGTTTTGGTGTCAGGATTCGTTCTCACCTGTGCAGTGAATAAAATGATGTCAAAATAAGGTTTCTAATAGGGAACTTGGAGGTCAGGAGACTGCAATGCTTGCTTTATTGCCAAGGGCACTGTAACTTGTTTGTTTTGTGAATATATTTGTCTCTAATGCTCATGATAAAAGCAAAGACAGATGAGTTGAAAAACAAGGTTTCTAATCTAAAGTTATTTATTATTTTTCGTACAAGTACATTATGGCAGTGCCCAGAAACCTGAGAGAGGCTTTGCTGTGACAGCTGCTGCATGTGTCCTCAAGTTGAGATTATCCTCATCCCTGAAATTTTTGCAGTCCATAAAATCCCAGATGTCTTGTAAATACTCCTTTCTAAGCTGGCTGCAGTAAAGGGAATGAATCACTGCTTTCCAGGAACAAGGTAGAGGACTCAGAGAAACTGGGGGTCAGAGGAATGTCCTGCTCCAGTTATTGTGCTGGTTCTCAAGGGATGGTGGTGCCTTAAGGTCCTCTGTGGTCTTCAGGAAGAAGAGGACTTCTCCTTTTGGCCTTTCAAATCAGCACATTTGATTTCCTGCTTATTGTGTAATATTCTGTAATATGGGGGTTGGAACAAGATGATCTATAATGTCCCTTCCAACCCAAACCATTCTATGATTCCATGATAATATTATTATATATTGTATTTTATACTCTTCTTGCTGTGTTAGCAACCTTGAGAGCTTGTATGCTTTCTGATAACTCTTACAGCTTGTTCCCTCTCCTGAAAATACTTTTTACAGAGTGGCATTGTCGTTCTTACATGAAATGGAAATGTTCTGTGGCTCTATGAGACAGCAGTTACTTCTGTCACTTCCTTCTTCCATTTGGAAGCCTTTGGTTGTTGGTTGTTTCTGTGTCCTCACTTTTTCTTTTGCACCTATGAGCATCTCTCAGTCCTTTAGACTCTTTAGAAATGGAGATGTTTCTCCGTAGCTAGTCATTCAAAAGCATATTCAGCCGAGTGATGTGTGTTCTTCGTTATTACCTTGTGGAGTGACCTCCTGGCAAAGAGCGAACGCATTGACATTTACAGTTGAGGATCTATTGATTGATGGCAGAAAACAAAGGCAATCAACGGGAGGGCTGTAATTGTTTGATTAAGTCCTGTGAACAGCACGTTGTACATTGATCCAAAATGCCTTGGAGCTGCAGCTTCCCAATGTCATGACTCTCCCCGTGGGCACCTTATTTTTCAATTTGCTGGTACTTGAAAGCGCTTTGATGGTCTCACAAAGTCCCGTGGTTCTGAGGGATTCTTACTTCTCACTGAGTGTGACCGTGTGGCTCTCTGCAATCTAGAGAGCTGAGTGCAGGATGGTTCCTGCCGTCACGGAGTTTGAAGATCTTTAGAAGTGACTCTGCTTTTCTCAAAAGTAAGGTCAGGGAAATCAAATATTCTGGTATCTGGCCTCCAGTGAGCCTGAGCTCTCTTCTGAACGGGCTCCACGGATCATAATCATTTTTTCTTACTCTGCATCAAGCAGAAATGATACGGTGGTTTTAAAAGCCAGTAGTCTCTCCTCATTAAAAGTCCTTCAATCGCCAGTGATACGTAGTACTTGAATATTTAATACAAAGCTTGATTCTGACATAACAAGAAAGAGGTTTCCCAGCTCCTGTTGCAGCCAGCACCTGCGACCCTTTTCAAACCTCTCCATACTGTTGTTCATCACTGTATTTTATAGTAAGTAAAATCAGGATTAGAATCTCCTGAACCTCCTGGTGGTACTACACATCCAACAAATAGTTGTCTATGCATCTTCTTTTTACTGGAGATAAAATTCATCTGGATCAAGAAATAACCATGTACTATAGCAAAGCCATAAACACTTGTTCTTCTTAAAAGGCTGAAGTTAGGGTGTAACATGAATTTATAAGCTCAATGGTTTGTCTTAATTGT